ACCTGCAGGAGTTGCTGGACAGTGAATCAACCTGCAGCTTCACAGCCCAGGTTAGGGTGAGAATGGCCTGGTTTCCTCATCATCATTTTTTTAAATCTCATTTTTATCTGTGAATGCAAACCCTGGTGACAAAGCCCAGCCTGCGGCACTTGCACAGAAGATGTTCGCCTCTGTGCTCCATTGGAAGACCAGTTGCCCTTGATGTTGTGCCTTAGCCACTGAAAGGGGCTGGACACAAAACACGGCTGCTGTGGGACCGAATGTGATCCACAGGACCCTTTCATGAGCTTTGTTGTGTGGTTCATTTATAGTGTTTTTACAGATTAGGTTGTGGTAATGCTCTGTATGTACAAGGTGTTCTGAAACCTGGAGAGAAATCAGTTTCCTGCTGCGAGGCAGATACGGTGTAAAAGGCTCCAGGCAGGATGAACAGGGTGCAGGAAAAATGGTCCGGCACATTGTGACAGAGGACAGCACCCTCATCCACCCTGTCCCTACAACACCTCCTTTTGGGATTGCATTCTTCTGTGACGCTCTTCACAGTGCAGGGCTCCCTCTTCACGGGGTTTTCCCCTAGTACCCCTGCTTGAGGGCCAAGTCTTCAAACTTCAGACTCAGGCAGTCGTACTCCTGAACGGGACATTTTTAAGTGTCTGCTGGACATGCCTACTAGTTTGCAGCTATCTGTTATGTTCTCTATTAGTTTCTGCTTTCTCCTAACTGAGATAATCTTACATAGTAAACCATGTTGTACATATTTTATGTCATGCTAGGTAAATGATTGATTTTTTTTTTTTTCTATTTACGTGTATTAACTCTGCTGTCATTCAATCTCTTCCTATTGCCCTCATGGCAGATTGCAGTTTATGTTTGAAGGCCTCATACACCTCTCTTCTTTCACTCATTTTGTCAACTTGTTTGTTAGAGAAATGCAAATATACAGCTAGTTTTCCATACATGTAGCTCAAGATGTCTCCTACTTCTTATTAATTTCTCGTGTTTACTTATTGCCATCAAAGGACTTTGTTTTTCCTTTTAAACTCATTATTTCATACATTCCTTGCTTATTTTCTTCATATACTTTCCCTGTTCAAATGAACTAATGGTAGCCTTTTTCATTTTTTCTAAGACCACCCCTGTCATACCTTTCCTTGATACTGCCCGACTCCACAATGCCCTTTTTAATGCATTTGTCATTGATGATTAAAATGATAGATTTAAACTGATCAAAAGGGATGTAACATTTAGCTAGGTACCATCTATTTGTATGGCAAATATTCTCCATCTTTTCTGGATGGCGGAAGATGTGCTCTGCTCCTTGATAGCTGCAGTGTATAACATAAGTGTCCTCATTGAACTATCCGTGATTTCCAGAACTACTCCCTGAGAGATTAAATCTTAATCAGAACCTGTCCCTGAACCACGAAGAAGTGGTTTAAACTGTTGCTGCTCTGTGTATTGCCTTCCACTTGTCTCTTTGGATTCCACTGTGGAGCCCCAGTCCCTAATTAAGAATCTGTCAGGTCCCTCTGGAATTCCTGTCTTTTCTAATTACTATTAATCTTTTTTATTTGTATTACTAGAGCACATAGAGGTTCCAGTTGGACACTGAGGCCTCTTTGTACTGGGACTTGTATAGACATATAAGAAGACAGCCCCTATTAATGAACTAAGGGTCTTGGTCTGTGAAAGCAAGAGGATGAAGCAAATATCGGAGAGGAAAATATGTAACCTCTTTATTTCCTTGGCTTTATGTGCATGCAATCTACTTTTTATTAAGCTAAGTAATTTTGGAGTATGACTCTATTTGATTTTGTTTATTCTTTCCCTCTGAGTGTATTTGCCATCTTTCAGGCAGACTAGTACTTACCTGCCTGTGGTCTGCTTGCAGCTATGTTCTGTTAGGTTTTGAATAGTCTGCGAGGCTATAAATGTGATCTGTGAGAGAGAGGTCACCCTCCTGACCTGCCTATAACTGTATGTGAAGGATGTCGTATACCGTAAGTGTGATTTTTAACACGGACTTGGCCCACATAATTGCACTTTGAGATTCTGTCAGAGGGGCTGAGTTTGTTACTCGGATCCCTCACTGTGTTTCTCGGCCATCTGTAGGAGAAGGTTGCCAGAATCACATTAAGATTTCCCAGGTAAATAACTTAACGGGTTTGCTTCTTTTCATGGGATCATTAACACTTTAAATTTGTAGCGGGATACAAATGCTAAGGTATTTTTACATTCGTTACCCATACGCTTCTCTCTCCTCTTGGATAAAAATGCCATTGTAGCCACAGAGCTGAGAAAATGTAGCCTGCTTCTCACATCACCCCTGAAGTCTTTCCCCTTGTTTTGTGAGAGAAGAAATGGCATTTCTAAAGATTTACTGTAACTTCATTCTTTCGAAGGAAGATGATTTTTAACATACATTAGAGTACTGGTCTGTGAGACTTCAGCCCTACGTGTATTTGGCATTATTTTAAACTTCCAGACCTGACAGAGGACAATTTGCAGGGTTTGGGTTTTCTTTGCTCATTGTTTCTTTAGTCTTTAATTGGAAGTTTTTGCTCTCCTCTAATCAGATGTCCCTCCTTATCCCTGCACCACCCCTACCCCCCCTTTTTTGGCCTACTTCCAGGTATTGTGCAGTCTTTTATGAATTATGTGCAGTCTCTTATAAGGTGGTAGTACATATATGTGGCTTTCTTACAATTACAGAGCTCTGCGCTTAACATGTTGGGGATTTAGGGAATAGTGTTAATGTGGATTATGTTATGAGACAAGACATTTGTTTTTTTTAAGAGAAATCTAGGTTTACTTTGATTTCTTCTTAGAGGTTATTGTTTGGAGAGTAGAAGTAATTTTAAGGTTTCTCAGAATGAAGGGAGGCCTTGATGAATGAAGTATAAGCAACGAAGAAAATGGTGGGTGCAAAATAAGAGATGAGGAAGTATGACCTATAAAGGGAGATAAAACCCAGTTATTATGCAAATAGTTTAAGAAAAAAAAAAGAGTTATAAATTGCAACTATATAATTGTTAGGAACATGGAGGAGACTAACAGGATTCTCAGGAACCTATTCCAACAAGGGATGTTGGCATGATTGACTAAGGTTGAGATTTCTTACTAGAATTAAGAAATAAAGTAATAATCAAAAAGTATAACAAGCAAGAGGGATGAAGCTCATGACGTTTTCAAGAGGTTCTCTCACCACTTACATCCTTTCTAAACTTACTGAACTTATCTGTCAGGCTGTCGTACTCCCATGGGACTTCTTTGGCTTTCCCTTTACATTTTAGTGTAGTAAAAGGGTTATTCTTAACCCATAGCAGTTTATCATAGTACCCAACAATTCGAGGAGTTTGATGTATGTGTGCTTGCTTAAGGAAAGGAAAATTATTCATCTCGTATTGCTACCAAGTTCCTTGTATTACAAAATAGTGGCTTTCATTTAAAACTCATCTGAATTTTGTGCTTAGGAAATGATAGTGACTTGTGTTTTAAGTTTCTTCATACCAGGTTCACCCTGTCGTGCTGTTGCATTTGTTAATTTTGTGGCATCATGGGGTCAGAGATATCTTTGATACCCTATAAATGTATGGGAAGGCACTGCCTTGGTTTCAGGTTGGTGCAGTGTTTGGAGTCAACCTTACGCCAAGTTCCCAGTGCTGTGGAGGTGGATTATGCTTGTGAGGTTTATGTAGCCTTGACGTACGGGTGCCGTTAACAAATCTTCCTTCCGAGTGTAATGCATAATCGAAGGACACGCCGTCCGCCGCACGTTGCCTCCTCAGCTTCCAGCGACTTGCAGTGCATGCCTGTGCTAGGCTTTCCCCTTCCAACAGAACGAGGTGTCCAGGGCTGCAGGTCTGCTTACCTCTCTCAGTTTGGGCAACGCTTTGTTTGCTAAACTACTTCACAGAAATCAATGAATTTATTGTGAAATGATGCTTACGTGCACGCAGAATTTGAGTTGAGCTGTGGTAGGTTAAGCTACGTCCCCGAAGCCCATGGGGCTGGCTGCTTTTCCGTGGAAGGTCTACGCTTGGCTTTTGGGGTAGAGGTTGAACCCAAGGCAGCACGAAGGCGGCTGCGGAGAGGACACGGCTGCGTTGCCAGAGGCTCTTTTCTCTTAAGTTCGGTCAAGGTTTTCCTCTTTGTGAAGCTGCTTTTCTTCTGGCGCAGGAAGAAGTTTAATAAACTGCAGGTAAACAGAGCTCGTTAACGTCGGACCCTGGAATTGGTCGATCATTAACTCCGGGTACTGCTCTTTTCCCACTGAGGTGTTTGGGGCATTTCTGGTACAATTCCTCGTCAGAAAACCGATCGTTAAGGGCGAACCGAAGTCAAAACACCGGGGGGGGGAGGTGGGCACCGGCAGCCTGCAACAACCGAGGCGACCCACCCGCGACGTGGGCACTTCACCCCGTGCACGATGGTTTCTCGCTGCGGCCCGGGGCGGGCGGGGCTGTGTCCCGGCTGCCCCTCAGCCCCGGGCCCGCCTCGCCTCGCCCTGCAGCCGGCTCAGGGGGGGTGTGTGTGCGCGTGTAGTATTATTTTAAAAAATTAATAAAAGACTAAGGCGGGGAGGCCTGTGGGCGCTCCCAGCCGGGCTCCCCGCCTTCCCTGCGCCGGCCGGGGCGGGGCGGGGGAGGGCCGGGCCGGGCCGCGCCTCCTTCCCTCCCTCCCTCTTTCCCTCCTTCCCTGCCTCTTTCACTCCTTCCCTCCCTCCTTCCCTCCTTCCCTTCCTCCCTCTTTCCCTCCTTCCCTCCTTCCTTCCCCTCGCCGCCCGGGGCCGCGCCGGCCGGGGCCCCCCTGCCCTCGCACGCCATTTCCTGTCCTCCGTGTTTACTTCCCGGTTCAACCCCTTCAGTGGGAGCGATCGGCGCCGCCGCCGCCGCCTGCGGAGGGAGCGGGAGGTGAGGGGAGCCGGGGGGGGACGCCGGGCCGAGCCGGGCCGGGCCGGGCCGGTCCCCGCGCTGAGCCGTCCGCCTCTTCTCTTGCAGGTGTACCCGGAGCCGCGGACGGAGGGCGAGTGCCTGAGCAACATCCGCGAGTTCCTGCGGGGCTGCGGTGCCTCCCTCCGCCTGGAGGTGAGTCGGGGCGGGGGCGGGCAGCGCCGGGCGGGGGGACCCCGGCTCCATCCCCGCGGGTCGAGGAGGAGGGTGTGGGTGTGGGGGTGTGGGGGGGGTTCGCTGCCCGCCCGGCGCCGCGGGAGGCGGCCCTGCCCTCCCTTTGTGCCCGGGGAGGCGGGGGCGGCTGCAAGATGGTGGCGGCGGCCGCCCCTCCCCTGGCTGCGGGCCCGGGGGGGGGGGGGGAAAAACCGCCCGGGGCTGCGCTCGGCGGCCTCTCTCCCCCTGACCGCTGGGGTCTCGGTGGCGGCTCCGCCGCGGCGGCATGGCTTGGCTGGCCGACTGACCGAGAGGGTGGAACGTTTCACGGGGATTCGTTCCCCCCCGCCCACGGTACCGCGGGGAAGGGGCTCGCTCCTCCTTACCGAGGGCTGGGGGAAGGTGACCCCCCCCCCCCCGGCTCTGTCCGTGCGAAGCCGGGGCGCGGGGGGGGGGCTTTGTCCGGCTCCGTTGCGGATAAAACCTTTGCTTTTCTGTTCAAGTGGGTTCTTGGTGATAAACGTATAAACGGCATCCGATTTATTTGTGAAGCTGCTTCTCGCGTGCCGGAGTTGGCTTACAGAAATTAAGTTGATAATGGCCAAATGAAACGCTAATTAAAGAAAATGGTAGGTGGTGTTCCTTCCGTTTAAATTTATGTTATGTAAAAGTGCAGCAAACTGCCATCTTCTCCAAACGTGCGTTCCCAGGGTTGCAAATTAGGTAGTCATATATTACCAGTATATTTAGCTATAGCGAGTACATGCTGCCGTCGAGTTTACTTGATGTGTGTGCGTGGGAAGGAACTGATGCGATTGAAAACAGGTTGCAACTTCTGTGCATTGGAAAGTGAGAGGTATCACAGTTTCAGTTCTTAGAGGCATTTTTTGGGTGGAAGAAATGGTTTCTAGTGCTTTTTTTTTGGGTGGAAGAAATGGTTTCTAGTGCTTTTTTTTGGGTGGAAAAAAATGGCTTCTGGGGCTTCTGAACTTAAATTAGCAAAGTGTTGCCTTATTTAGTTCTCAGGTTCTTGGAGTACCTCTGGTCCTGCCTGTGATTTTGCCAGGCAGTAACAGAGTATCACTAAAAAGACCCTGGTTGCTTTACTGACGCCTCTAAACCATGAAGTATCGTTAGTGAAATTAATGATACTTACAGGACTTGCATTTAATCTTAGGTTCCATTGTGGGGAAAGATGGAAATTACGACAGCTTTTAGCGCCGTTCCTTGTGAAATAAGACCTTACACTCTTACCTGCCTTTCTCTTCACCTCACCAAATAAATAGAGAATATTCTAGGATATGTTGGGAGAGAAAAAACAAATTAAGTTCTAAAATGTTCAGAAGCCACGTTCTGGGGTGAACTTTGCGTTCTCTCAAGCATTCTGTTTTGCCTTAAAGCAGCTGTCTCTCCATTAATCTTTTCTAGGGCTACATTAAGTTTTTCATGTTTTGAACATTCATGTGTGAGAGCCGATTGAAAAGTCAACTAGTAGACATGTATGAGCTAGGGAGAATTGGGGAGGCAGGCACTTCAAATCTCACTTCAGAAATAAATTGAGTATTGCGAATGTTAAAGCAAAAGGGGGAAAAAATACCATTAATATCCCTCTCCCTCCCTTACTCGCTTCTTACTGCAGGTCTGTCACGAAGCTTGAGTTTTTTTTCAATTGTGACAGGCTGGAAATAGTCACAGTGTTGCAGTTTGGTCTCTTTTGTAGTTGCAGAAAGCTTTTGTCAGCTCTTTTCCTCAGAGTGACAAGAAAGCAAAGAAAACCGATTTAAAAGAAAAAAGAGAATTTTGGTCTTACTCTCAGAGCCTGAGTATCTTTGGGCATAGTCAGATTGTTAACCTGGCCTCGGGGGCTTCTCAGCAAGATTGCCGGAAACTCCTTTCTTACGTGGAGGTAGCTGGCTGCAGTAGCTTCCAGCTCGGCATGTTGGAACAGGAATTACTCCCAAGCTACCAGAAGAGTTGAGAGGCTGGCAGGAAGGAGCACAAATGCTTGGGCTTATGGAGCCTCTTGTGTGTGTATTTACGGCTTGTATGTTGGCCGTTCCCTGTTGTTTTCTCATTAATTTTTCCAGCCCCCTAGCTGTGGCCAAGGATGAGAGGAATGGCAACCCGGATTCAACCAGTGAGTACCTGGCAGGGGCCTCTCGGCCGTCCACTAATCCTGGGCTCTTTCTCCTGTCTCCTTGAACAAGGTGTGAGTCAGCCCTTGTGGATCTCTGCCTTCCTCGCTGTGGGAACTGGGGAGATGCCATAGCTCCTCCGAGCAGGCAGCGTCTATGTAATGCTTCCTTAGTTGCGATCAGGTTTAAAGATTGCGTTGAGCAAAGAGTGTGAAGAGCGTCTCTGGAAGTGGTGAAGGCGATATTTTCGGAGAGGGCAGATTAGCTAATAAAGAGTTAATGGTGAGTATAAATATTTGACAGAGTGGTGGATGTGTATGTGATACCTTAAATAGTAGAAACATTTGGATGGTACAGGTATCGGAGGAAGCTCTAGAGTGGTGTGGGGAGATGTGACCTTGTTCTGTGCACTAATGCGGTGCTTTTCCTAGCAAGTATTCTGCAATGTTGAGTTTTGCATGGCTCTGCAAAGGGTGCAGTTGAGCCTGATGTTGAATCTGAGTTATATGTAGTTGGATCAGGTGATTTCTCTGTCTGTAATTTTGTGAGTGTCGTAAAAACACAGTACTGGTTTGCTTAGCCTAGGTTCGGCATTGCACAAGCATTTTTTGCTCCCGGATCTGAACTCATCTTGGAAGTCGTAGAATTGTATTTTTACAAAACCATGTCTGGAGCTCTGTACAGTTCCAGCTTTGGAGACTTCGTTATGGAACGTTTGAGGACTTGATAAACTGCCGTGGTTAATGGAAAGTTGCACAGCAGTAGATGGCTTCTTTGGGATGCTTTCCTCTGTGGTGTCCTTTTATTAGAGGACATGATGACTGTTGCTTTCCTACTCTAAAAATAGGGGGTGGAGGTGAGAACTTTGTTGGTCTGGAAATGTTCTGGTGTCTGAAAGTTGTCGTTCTTATCTTCTTCCTCTTACTTCCCAGTAATTTGGGGCTATTAGAAAGATAATAGGATATTCAGAAAGGATATTTCAAATTCTAATGAGAAATATTGCTATTCCTCAAAGGAAACCAGTGGCTCCCTTCCCACACCCCTCAGTGGTTTTTGATGTTTAAGTGTTCCAGAGCAAAAAGTGTACTTAATCTGGAGCTTACAGCAATCCTTTGTAAGATGAAATCTGGGTTGGTGAAGCAGAGCAAGTTTCAAGAAATAACCAGAAGAATGTCCTGCAAGTATTGTTTTTTAAGTTATTTTTTTAATACAGGTTTTTTGTATGCAGATACAAATTGCTGAGATGTATTAATGAATTTGCAACTCCATGTTGCTTTTCCCTTCTGGAAACTCTTAGTGTTTGCTTAGAATAATTCTAGTGTCGAGTAGTTTATCCTACTTTGAAGCTTCACTGCCTATGATGAATGTCTGCGTAGATGGAAGGGACTGTAGAATAGCTGCGTACGTTGTTGGTTCACAACTTACTCTGTGCTTTTTGCTTAGGCAAAGCATATTTACTATATACTGCTCATGCCATTTTTGTTTTAAAAGCTATTTTCCCCCACAGTTTTGTCTTTGGGTAGGAAGACATTTAACTGTACTTCCTTCTGAGAAGTATGACCTGCTTTTCGAAGCAGGGTCCTAGACAGTTGTTGTACGTGATGGACTCTGTTCTAGAAGAATATGGCTGGATATGTATAGTTGAGATGGAACTCACTGCAGGTATACAGTACCTTCCACAGAAGTCTGGTGAAAAAGACAAAAATGAAAGGGTAATGGTCACAGAGCATTTGTTCCTGTCTGAGCCCTAATAAGTTTTGCTGTAATGATTATTGTGTACCTGTGTCGTGTTACTCCAGTTTTGTTCTCTTTCAAAGGAGTTTCAGCTTCCTGAATATAATGTAGTCTTTCCTCTTTCTTTGACCAGAGCTGCTTGACAGCTTGCAGGGCCAAAAAGAGGCCCTGGAGAAATCACTGTATAGTTCAACAGCAGAGGAGATTGTTTGGGGAGCAGTTAAATGTGGAATAATAAGCAACAGGTTAATAGAAAACCATGTTAGTGTCTGTTGTTTAAAGGGCAGAGTGCTTGATATATCCTGTGAACAATACCAGGCTCTATGTGATCAAATTCCATGAGTAGTGTCTTGCAGCATTTTTCTGCTGGCTTTCATCACATAAAAGATTAATGCCTGCTTATCTGCAAGTATCTAATGTTAACAGGTTTCTTGAGCTCAAAAATGTTTTGTATTTCTGACTTTTATACTGATGTGAAAAATGGCAGCTGGCTAGTGGAAGAAGATAGACAAGCCATGGATCTGAGAACCTTCTCTGTACCTGCCAAGAGACCTGCTTGCCTGTGGGATTCAGGATGGTCATTTTATGACAGAGTCAGCAATGCCAAAACCAGGATTTTATTTCTACAGTAAACTAACCAAAGAATAAATAAAGCAAACCTGGCAGTCTTATGCAGTCTAAGAAGATCCTGTGTTTTGTTTATTATTAAATCTCTCTTGTACAAGAAGGATTTGCCCTTAAGGTTCAGAACACTGCATGCAAATTTGGGAAATATAATTCATAGCTCTCGAGATTTAATCAAGATATACAAATGTCCATAAATGTCTATAATACAGCTCTAGCCTTGGGGAAAAGTTTGTAAGGGGTGCCAGTGTCATTCTGTTTGACCAGCTTATCTTTTGGGAGCCAGCCTGCATGTCTGTCGTCTTCCCTTACACCCACCCCTACCATAGCAGTTCATCTATTAGGTGATGCTCCTCTTCTCTGAGCCTTGCATACTTCTTTAGGTCATTATAGCTACAATCCTACTACCGTTGTGGCCTTGGAAAGGTATTCTGCAAGTTGGCCTTCAAAGACCTATTCGTATAAGGAACGCACGGAGCTAAGCTGCTA